TGCAAACCCAGAATAAAAACTTCGAACTGTCAGTTTGCACCATAGGTCTCTAGTAATACCAAGGGAACTGACGAGTCCATTGAAATAAACATGTCCGTAAAAGCCTACATCTATGGGAGTCCCCGCACCGTCTTTGTAAGAGTATCAGCTGTGAATTGTTCCGCTGGCACTCCAGCGGAAAGGCCACCTCGTCCACCACCTTAACCAACTATCCCCCGAGCTTCGTCACAGTACATATCGACCTTCTTCTCAGAGCAGGAAAGTTCGTGAGTGTGACTGGATCAATAGACAGCAGGCAGAACATCGAGCACAGAGAACCCCCTGCTTCCGAGGAGGGGAGGAGGGGAGGAGGGGAGGAGGGGAGGAGGGGAGGAGGGGAGGACGGGAGGAGGGGAGGAGGGGAGGAGGGGAGGCGAGCAAGGGAGCAGGGGAGTACCTCGAGTGACGCGAGGAGGAGAGGAGGAAGACGATCATTCCAAGGAACTGGAAGATGCGAGAGAGGGTGGTGGCCACCGGAGCTCCAACGAAGCCCCAGCCCAGGGAGTAGATGAGCACGTAGTTGACGATGATGTTGAAGAGGTTGGAAAGAGCAGAAATCCAGACACAGGGGGAGAGGATGTGCTGAGACTGAACAGGAGACAGTCAGGAGGGAGTGGCAGTGAGGAGATTGGGGGGAGGGAGGGCAAGGAGAGAGAAGAGGCGGAGAGGAGGGATTGGGATAGTGGAGAGGAGGGAGCAGGGTTAAGTTGGAGGGAAGGAGAGGAAGAGAGGGAGAGAGGAGAAGAGGGAGACAGGGAGACAGGAGGAGAGGAGGAGAGGAGGAGAGGAGGAAAGATGGAGGGGATCAACCTGTAGATACTTGGTGAAGACTATATACAAGATGTTGGGAAGCATCCCTGGTAGCAGGTAATGAACGAACGTAGCTGCTCGGTGGCTCAGATGCTCCTCCATGCCCATAGCGATGAGGAACTTGTCCGTGAAGAGCAGGATCACGATGACAGGCAGCGTGCTGCACGTCATGGAAACGCAGCCCACCAGGAGCCAGAGGGCATAGGAATGAAAGTTCTTGGCCCCGTACGACTGAGAAAACAGAGTATCCAGTGCCATGGCCACCCCGTTGAGGGGGAAGAAGACGGTCATGTAAAAAGCCGTTCCCAATGAGGCAGCCGCAAGCTCTTCACGCCCAAGGTGACCTATAGAGGTTTTAAGATGGAGGAGGAGAGGGGAGGAGGAGGAGGAGGAGGAGATAGGGAGGGAGAAGATAGCGGTAATGTGATGTTGTGGAGTGGAGAAGGAGAGACAGAGAGGGATGGGAAGGTAAAGGAGGATGAGGGAGGGAAAGGAGAGAGGAGAAGAGGGTCTATAAAAGGATGGCAGCATGAGGTATTCGCGTCTTACCAACCATCGACAGGTCAACCATGTTCATAATATAACTCAAGCTAGAGCTCGCCATGATCGGAGCAGCCAAACGCAGCATGACACGACCTTCTTCAATCATCTCGATCATCTTTTTGATTTGTTTGCAAGTCTTGTCTTCAACAGACAATCTATTTCAATCTGTTTCAAAGCTTCGCGACCTCCGCTTCACCTGCTGGCTTCCCTGGACATCTTCAAAAACAAACCATCAGTGTGTTCGAACGAATGCTGGACAACGAGTACGGAATGCGCATGTAATGAAAACAAAATGTGAACGTTAGCGAAATGCCTGCCTATCAGCTATGCTCCTTCTGTCGTTTATGTCAAGTTGACGGATCTGATCACCTCTTCTTTGGAGCGTTTTCAACTTTTTCAGTTGTCTGTTTGCCTTGTTGATGTCTGAGAGTTCTATCTTGTTGTGTTGTGTTGTTGTGATATCCTTTATTCTCTTCTACTCCTTCCTCCTCCTCCTCCTCCTCCCCTTCTCCTCCCCTCCCCTCCTCTTCGTTTCCCTTTCCACGTTTGGTCGCATGCGATGCACGTCTAAAGGACTTCCGGTTCTAAAGTTCATTTTTAGTTTTACAGGATCTTGTTTTTTTATCTTTTTTTTTATGCCCGGGTCACCGGGGCCACCCGGCCGGGCCCGGCCCGTCACGGTCTGCCGTACTGAGTACCGCCCGGTCGACCTGATTCGATCTCCGAGGCTGAGTGAGTCCGATCGGCCGGGGCGCTCCCCGCGGACTCCAATGAGACTCTCCTGATCATCCTCGTACTGATGAGACTCAGTGAGTCATCCAGGCCCGCCATCAAATCTCGGCGCGGCCCGGCCGGGCGCCGATCCGAATACAGTGAGCCTCGGCCCGGCAAGCCGGCGGACCCGGGATCATTTTGTTTGCATTTTTTTTAATTTTACAGGGTAAAAAAAGAATCCCCGGCTTTCACGGTCCATTGCTTGCCGACAAAGCGTCCGACGGAGGAGACGATGGCGGCTGAGAGGAGGAGGAGGAGGAGGAGGAGGAGGACTCCAGTGTATCACCCGCAAGATTAATCCATGTACAAGGTGACTGACGACGATGAGAGCCTGTAAGCGCTCAATGGTGATGCAGTTGTTTCTCAGGATCCTCTCGGGATGTGGTTTGTACTCATCGTTGTCCTGTCAATCGTACCCTCCCTCGGGCAGGAGATGGCCTCCGAGACTGTGAGAAACATCCTGCTGATGGCTGATCCCTTGTGATACTCTGCTGTCTAGCTGAGCGGGTGGGAGGAGAGTCATCTTCGTCTTACGCACGATGGTGGACAACTCGTCTACCATGTCAGACCAGCAGGAGCTTGTTGCAAGCTCCTGGTCTTCATTAACAAGAGGTTGACTCTGAATGAGTTGATCTGCAACGAGACGGAAGGTGCACCCTTGTCTCATGCGTCTCTCCTCCCCTCCCTCTCTCCCACGGCGTGCACCCGACAGCTTCTGAGAACCATACCAGGAGTTCACGACTGGTCTACCCTGGACGAGTGTGATAGCAGGACAGAGGAGATTTCTGCATATGCGGTAGATCTGATAGTGCCTGATCCCTGCGCCATGACGACTTGCTAGGTCTTAGCTCACGAGCAGAATGGAACTGCATTCCAGCACCATTCACTTCGTTTCACCGCGATAGGTCCCTTCTCCGCGTACCGGACGTTCACATGAAGTTCTTCTGCTCCGCAGGAGCCGATACGGAACGTCAAGGCAGCTGCTCGGCAAGAACGGGCCCGAAGCGATGGATCCGTTTGGAGAACCAGCGGGCCGACGATGAAGCTGAGGGAGGGTCAACGAGCGTTTGCACATCAGAGGACTCGGGAGAAGATTTCTTGCTGCAAGTGGAGCTTCGGGTGTTTTCAGCCGCCGATCATCGATACGCGTTTGGGGTGAGAGAGGGTTGTTGGTTGTTGACGACAAATCTGAACGTGCGCTAGGTTCTGACAACCCTCGATTGCCTGCTCATGATTTTCCTTGACGAACATCTACTTGTCGCTCGGAACCTTGACAACTACAGCGGAAACGCGACATTGTACAGGCAATGAAAGAACGTTTTGTTGGGGAAGGTCTTTTTTTGGATTGATGTTTTGCTCAGAGACAAAGCAGAGTATTCTCGTGTTGTGAAAGGGATGGTTCGATTCAGAGGAGACGCAGTCTGCCACTACCAACGCCTCCATTCGCAGGTTTCTCCTCAAAAATTCTTTTGCCCCCTCCCCGATCGTCTCTTCTCCTTTCCTCTCTAATCTGATACCTTGCCGACTTTGCAGCTCAAGTGTGCCAGTTCAGAAACCGTCTTCTCCTCGGGCTACAGGATTCACGAAGAAGGTTCGATAACGATTCACTTCCCTCCCCCGCCTTATCCTCTACCTGCCAGATCTCACTCCTGTACCTCCCGACGCCGATCTCGCGTGCAGGGAGAGCCGAACGTGCTGGCAGGACGTTCCAAGGGATCGCCCTCCGGGCTGGCTCCCCGAACAGGGGAGGAGGCTCTCATATGGGTTCAAAATCGCCGGGGGAGAATATTTCGGACCTCCAGCCAAGTCATTCTATGACATCGGTGAGGAGCAAGAGGAGGAAGAGAAAGAGCAGATGCAGGTGCAGGAGGAGGAGGAGGAGGAGGAGGAGGATGAGGACCAAAGAGATCAGGGGAAGTAGGACGAGCAGGAGCAGATGTTGTAAGATCAGGAGCAGGAGCAGGAGCAGGAGCAGGAGCAGGAGCAGGGGCAGGAGCAGGAGCAGGAGCAGGAGCAGGAGCAGGAGCAGGAGCATGATGTTGGGGAGGGTTGGAGGCAGAGCCGATTCTGAAGTTCTCTGCTGCCAGTTCATGGAAATTCGTTTGCTCGTTCTGTCATCATCAATCAGAATGCCCCGATCCTCTCCGAGCATCCGGACAAGAAGGAGCCAGCACCTGCTCTAGAAGCTCTTCGTTTCATCATAGTCACCCCAGCTCGCAACTGCGCGACCTGGATCCGATTCACGGTGGAGAGCGTGTTAGCGCAAAGCTACAGGAAGTGAGTCAGATTGCTGCTGGAGATGGAAGACTTTGACTAGTCGAGCAGCTGGGAGCTGATTGTGACTGACGACCACTCGTCGGATGGCACTGGAGATGTTGCCATCGAGGCCTCCAGGTTCTTCTGTCTGCCCTCCAGCTGTCTGCTCTGACGGGGGGGGCGGCGAAGAGGAGATGAGAGGGTCAGGGTGATCGTGAATGAAGAGAGGAAGGGAGCCTTGTACAACACCATCAACGGTGAAGTTACCGAGCCATGGACTCGTTCCCGTGACCTTTCGTGTGAAGCCATCGCCATGGCCGATCCCCAGGATGATGACGTCATCGTCGTCGTCGATGGAGATGATTGGTTGACCCCGACGCAAGTCAATGCGCGATTTGACACGTCCTGACAGGTTCGCACATCCTAACGCGCTCGCTCTCGTGGCCCGCAAGTACGAGGTGGGAGATCAGCTGAGACTGGTCGGCATGTGACGGGCGGGCGAGCAGGAGGGAGCCTGGATGACCTACGGGACTTTCATCGAGTATCCCACCGGCCTCGTGCCTGACTGGATCGTCGACTTCCCCAAATGGTCAAGATTGGAGGGGCGAGGAGGGGAGGGAGGAGGGGAGGAGGGGAGAGGGCGGGGGGCGGAAGTGAGCGGAGGGGAACGGATGGGATAAGAGGATAGGGCGGGAGGGAGGATCAAGCTGGTGATTGTGCTCTATAGGGTCATTGACTCGAAGTCTTTCCGACGCTTTCCTTTCATCTCATCGCATCTCAGGTGAGGTCTCAAAGGTAATTGGTCCCCTGACTTTCTTGTTCTCTTCTTGTCTACAGAACTTTCAAATATTTCTTGCTCAAGGACATTGAAGAGTAGGGTCTCCTCCCCTCCCCTCCCCTCTCTTCTCCTCATCTGACCTCCATTCCCTTGTCCCATGATCTCCATTCCTCTTTCCCCCTTGTTCGTCTCTTTTCCTCCTCTTGCCTCGTTGATCGTCAGCCCTCCAGGAAGTCTTTCTGCTACGATGAGGATCATGGGTGGGGTCCCAAGTGCTCCAACGTAACTTGACTGGCTGATGCCGCACCTGCTGAGGGCTGGAGCAGGGAGGACGATACTTCGACAGGGCAGGAGCAGATGTTGCCGTCATGCTCCCGCTGCTAGAGAGAGCAGGTGAGGGAAGGAGGGGAGGAAGGTGAGACTTTGTACAGCTGACAAGGAAGGGCAGGGGAGAGGATCATGCGTGTGGACTCAATCCTGCTGGTGTACAACATCGCAACACCCAGCAATGACTACAAGGTAGTGGCTGCGGTGACGGCTGAGGATTAACGTCTTGCAAGATCCACCTCAAGGAGCAGTGGGGAGTCGACGAACTGGTGCGATCAAGGCAGCCACTGAGTCGCAAACAAGGTCCGTCGAACTCCCTTCCTGTCTCCTTCACTGCTTCACCTCCTTATGCTCTTGCTCTTGCTCTTGCTCTTGCTCGACCTCATGACTTGTCGGAAGGTTCAAGAAGATCTCCTTCCTCTGAGCCGCCAAGCATCGAGGTCCTCACACCAGTCAACGGAGCTTCTCATCGGGCACAGGAGGTGAGATACAGTGCCGTGCATCCTCCTCTAAGGCTTCCTTGGCGTCCTCCTCCTACTCACTCTTCCCTTCACTTCCATCCTGCAGCCCCTCGATGCCTGCACCCCCCCCCCCCCCCCCCCCCCCAATCCTTGGTACCTTCTCAACACATGCAGGAACTGCACATCGAGTATCGTGTTGGGGGCGTTTGGGTACCGGAGGAAGCCGTTGCTGAGGTCGATGACCCTGCCTACCCTCCTGGTTGTGACTGCCTTTCAAAGTTGTTCCTCGACGGCAAGTTGATCGTGCGGGGAGATCGTTCGGAGCTGCTGATCTCTGTGCCTCAGGATATCGTTCCTCCTGGTCTCCCCAGCCTCCTCCCCCACCCTTCCTGACCTCTCGTGGCAGGACAACATCATGTCGACGCGGACCTGGTGGGCCCTGAGGGGGAAGTCTTATCCTTCCACTCCATCTCGTTCACTGTAGTCTAAACAAGCTTGACGTTCGCTGCCTCTGCGTTAAACTGGAAAGAAGAGCTTCAAAGCTCTTTGTCCGCCGCCGCCCTCACTTCGATAATCTGCAGAATTTCTCACCCGCAGCACATCGGGACATGCTAGCCCACCACTTGTTGGGAGGGAGGAGAATCTTCTTCCCAGGGCCTTCGGTAGGAAAAGGAGATGATAGTTGATCCTGCCATGCACAGTGACTGAGCCAACCAGAGGAACCGACGGCATGCCTGCTTTCGTCGCTTCGAAGACAAAACTCTGTCACCAACAAACCACAAGTCAGGTTCTTCGACTCCTCACCACCCTCTCCCCCTTGCCCCTCTCTTCCCTCACCTGGAAGCCAGGAGCTCCCAGCTTGGTGTTTTGAGATGACGCTTGAAACTTGCTTGACACTTCCTGAAACAAGAAAGTCACGTACAAAACTTCACAAGATCTCAGTTCCAACCAAGCATCCCTATCACATTTCTATCACATCTTGTCCGAACAACACACACTTACGGACATATTTCGTACAACACACCTTGATGGCAGCCGAAGCTCCAGTCCTCACAGACTGTAAGGGATTTCCCATGTCCATAGAAGTCAGGCCGTCCAACGCCCACTGCCATGAGATCAGAGGCAATCATTTCGCAAGACATGCACCAGACAGCATCAATGCCAATGCAAGATGGAAAACATGGAACATGCAGCAGACAGAACCGAAAGACATGGCACGCCTAAGCACTTACCGTGAACCCCGTAGACGGCGAGCTCTGAAGCTCAACCTTGAACATTTGCCCGACTTTGGTCTGAGGACAAGGAAATCAAACATGATTGTCGTTGGGCAGCAAGGGAGTGGTATCCACGTGAATCTTCTCTGTGTCAGGAATCAGTGAGTCCGAATCCTTATCCTTCAGCATGATGCGGAGTGTGTTCTCAACTGAAAGGGCGCAAAAGTCCGACCCATTTCAGATCCGAATGAACGTTTGCAATCGAGATCAGACCTTCATGCGCTGATGGCGCTGCTGAGAAGGAAGAAGGTGTTGGTGATGCTGATAATGACGATGAAGGCATCGTGATCATCATCATAGCCATCGCCATCGCCATCATTGTTGTCCTCCGCTTTCTCCACATTGTTTCCGCACTGATGAAGCGTTTTCTTCGGTTCTGTGCAAACCCCCGAAACCTCGTCCCCGTACTGACCGATCATATTCCTACCCACCCCCAGACCCACCCCCTGAAGAATTTTTCTAAACCTGCCTGCTAAAAGTGTAGGGTGGGGTAGTTGATAGCAATGAACGCCTCTTCATGCATTTACTTTCGAACTGCATTGTCGCCTGTCCTGCCCACCATCACGATCACCAGCTCTTCTCATGCCCTATCCTCCTCCTCCTCCTCCTCCTCCTCCTCCTCCTCCTCCTCCTCCTCCTCATCATCATCATCATCATCATCATCATCATCATCATCATCATCATCATCATCATCATCATCATCATCATCATCATCATCTCCCTCTCATCTCCGTCACGTTTCCTGTCCTGTGATGAAATAGCAGCATTGTCCTGATCCTCGCTCTCCCTTGACCGATGCTCTAACGAGGCGATGCAGGCCTACACCGCACAGCAACGATGCTGAGGAATCAGCAGCTTCTCGTGGTGGCTGCTGTGCTGGCCGTTGCTGGGATCGCTACTTTGCTGATCGCTACGACGAGCGGCAACAAGAGAACAGCAGTAGGCAGTGTTAGGAGCTCTTGCTTGAGAGTTGACTTGAGACTTTCAGGATCTGGAGCTCGTGAGGGTTCCCAGGAGGAGAATGGCCATGAGGGCGCGTGGACAGATGCTGTGGGGGACTGAGACTTACCCGTATTGGGAGCGAGAGCACACGGGAGATCCGGAGATGTTCGCAGAGGTCAGCGCTGTCCTGTGCCCTGTGCTAGAGTTGAGATGAGAATTCGCAGGAGTACATTGATCTGTGCATACGGAAGCTCTACCCGGAGGTAGGGTGTCCGGGGTCTTGGGACAGCTCGTACTGGAGCCCGATCCATGAGTGAGACTTTGTGGGTGTATGATGGTTAGACTGACGTGAAGGTGCAGCGAATACGACAACGACCATCCTGAGTTAGACATCTGGCCTCCAGAGTGAAGATCTTGTACATTGGTGGATGACATGGGGTTGTTTGTCCTGCTCTGTTGGTGGAGGAGGCCGCTGCATGGCCGTGGTGTATGCTGATTGTTGAGAACCTTAACACGTCAAATTTCTGTGGAAAATGCTCTGAATAAATTGACAAGCATTCATTGATAAGAATATTCTCAGAGTCAATCCCGCAGGTTGGAAAACACGCATTTCTGGATATTGGAGACAGACTCGAGGGAAAGAATAACACGAGCGAAAGAGAAGAATATATCTACAGCAAGGTTTCTTGATCATCGCCGTCGGAGGCCTCTATCGAGCGTATGTGCTGCTGGGCGACAAACAGATCAATCATTGCAAGCCTACAACATGAGGCAAAAAAACCTCGCCAGATGTCCTGTGAATGTTTATTTTTCCCTCCCTTTGGTTTGCAACCTGTCAACGAATTAGCAACATGCACGAGCGATCCTCGTAGCTGGACCAGGTACACTCCAGCAGATGTTGCGATGAAGCTCAAGAGAAAAACCTGATGATTCCGATTCAGATGGAAGTGCAGTCTGTAGATTGAGCTTCTTTTGCGGAGATTGAGCAGTTGAAAGAGATCAAGGTGTGTGTCGAGAATGGTACCAGAATGTTCTCCTTGCTCGAATCTGTCAGGTCTCCGTACCTGCCATGGTAGCCAGTGAGATCTCAACATGACGCGTACTGATCTGAAAGGATCGAAGCGTATCAATGCACGACTCACAGGATCGCACTGCCCAAGACAGCGCAAGAGGTGAAGATGACGTAGTAGGTGGGAACCACTTCTCCTGCGCGGGCCCTCAGTAAACACTTGAAAGCCTCTGGGCCCGTCAACCTGTCCCGTAGTCTGCGATGGCCTTGTTTAAGAAGTGCACCTGCCCAGCATGGTTCAGAGAAGAGACAGGAACGTCGCCGTCTTTCCTGCAGCACGAGGGTCAAGGCAAGGATCGGAAAGATCGCGAACGGCAGCAGATTGCCGAATTGGTTCGATCCCTGGAATGTAATGACCATAAATCTGCAGGACGAGGTTCAAATGGGAGGAAAGGAACAAGATCGAGCATGTACGATGTGACAGCTTTGATAGACAGCACAGTCAGCCCTCCGAGCAGCGAACATATCCAGATGTATGTCATGACCGTTTTCCTTGCAGAGGGTGAGGACGTTGGGAAAACGTTGGTACGACACTCTCACCTTCTTGACCAGATCAGATCAATCGACTCCATGACAGATATCGTGAAGAAAACCTGGAGAGTTTGTTCACACGTCAGAACAGAAAAATCGTTGTCAGCGCAACCATGAACGTAGGTCGGAACGCCATTTTCTCGAATTGTTCAACCGTAACCGTCTCATGCTCCGATGTGTTGTTTGCTACAACCTGAAACATCGCATCACAAACCATTGGGGAGCAAGCGACTTCACATCACCCCCACTATCCCATAACCACCCAAGATGCAGAGGATGCAGCCGAGGATGTTGCGAAAGGACAGCTTCTCGCCCAAGATGAAGTAGGCGAACGGCACATTGACAACTACCTGTGATGGCCTCAGTCAACGACAAGAGCAGAAGCTGTCTGCACAGATATCGCTCCCAGCGGCGAGATGAGGGAAGGTTTCGCTAACTGCAGACTTCTGGTCAGCAAGGGAAGCATTTCAACTCAGGAGTTCACAGAGTACGCCACAAGGTTTCCAAGCTCGCCCAGGACCATGAGAGAAGTTCCAGCCCACCACCTCATCAGAAGAATAAGATGGTATCTCAGCTTCGTGCTTCCCTTACATCGGGATGGTGAGATAATTCTTCCCTCCTGTGTTCCGCTCGTGTGCTATCTGGTTTCAACGATGTCACACCATCAATCTTACCATGGTTGAGTTCAAACCTTCATGACACTAAAGCTTGTTCCAATGAGACTGTTTCCAACAAGAGCAATCAGCACTCCAAGGAAACTGCTCTTCATCGTGCCCGAAACTCGGCGACGTCCTTGACTGGGCCCTGTTTGCACTTTCACGACCTGCCCTCCTCTTTCCTCTACTTCGTTCAAGGCCCCTCCTTCGCTCCTCCCTCTCTGTCATCTCCCTCCCTCCTCCCCTCCCCTCTCTTCCCCAGTCTCTCCCCCAGAGGCAGACAGAAGCGGGGTAGCAGCCATAGCAGCAGCAAGGGGATAGCGAGGCATTCCAGCCTGCATTTCCGGCAGGGAGCATGGCACTAGCTCGTATGCACGGTGCCGCATGAAAAAGATGACGTTCAAAGTTTGGAACTTCAACATATTCGGCATAAAGTTTAAACAAATCTTTCCATTAGCAAAGTTTCAAACTCTCCAACGTTTCTCTCTTTTCAGCTGATGCGGCCGAGCCCGCCGACCTATGCCGCGATGGCGGGCGAGCGAAGAGGAGAGATTAGAGAAAGCGGGGAGGGTTTCCATGCTCCTTTTCCTCGTCTTTCTCGTCCTCTGCCTCTCCTCTAATGATTTCTTGACCTTACTGTGCCCCTTGCTTTGACTCGCGCCCTTGCCTGGTGGAACTTTGTGATCCTCGGCCCCCGTTCCTGGGATCCAAGGAGAAGGGTGGTTGTTTCCTGCATGCTTTCTCTTCCTCGTGCAAGCTTGCGTAGGATTGTTTCTTGTTATCTTTTCAGACAAAGTGATCACGAGAAAACTTTGTTGTGAATCTCCTGTCTGCATGGAGCGTTGCATATGTCATCAACGGAGGATCGAAGGTGGCAGACTAGACTATTTTCATGATGTTACTTCGTTTCCTTGTGTTGTTTTAACAATATTCTACATAACCATCTGAATTTATCATTAGGATAGACAGAATTTCAGTGTCACAGCATGAAAATCTGAAATTTATGCACTTCATGATTGGCTTCACTGATTGCTTTCTTGCAGATTGTCTTGAAAAACTCATGTATTGCATACTTTACTCCTCAACGACTTCAGAATCACTAAGGTACGTGCTTTCAATTATGATGATGGTTTGTTACTTTTCTTGACTTTCTTTGACGGTACGTGACATGAACTGATGCATGTGATTTCAGCAGATTGTGTTGATGAAGATGAATCGGTGGCTTTTCCTCAGTTTCCCCCTCTTTTCCCTCCTTATTCTTCATGTGGATGCAAATGGATTTCCTTCTTCTTTGAGATCTTCAACTGCATACGCTCGAAACAAGCTCGGTCGGGGTAACAGTGCTCTCTGGCTGAAAGGAGGTGAGCCGGAAAATCTCGGTGAGTATGGCGGCTTATCCAAGGATGCGATCGAGTTCTTGAGAGCTCAGAAGATAGCCCCGACGTGAGTGCTCTACATAGTTGTGGGGTAAAGTTTGTGAGATGATGACAGGAAACGGCTGTTTGAGCTCGTCGACACCAACGGTGATAATTTTATCACCCTGGAGGAGATCAAGATTGCTTTCGAGTACTTGAAGCGAAGAAAGAATGACTTGCTGAATGCTACTCTCGTCCCCACGGCCCTTGCTTACAAGACGAATGCTTACGTAGATGGCAAAGTCTATGTGGTCGGGGATTGGTCAGAATGGCTCGAGTTTCACGAGCTTTCGAGGAATGCGGACAACTCATGGGAGACTGTTGTGAAACTTCCTCCTGGAAGACGCCAGTTCAAATTCGTCGTGAACGGAAATTGGTTGACAAGTCACGACTATCCCGTGGTTGATGATGGTGTTGGAACTTCAGGTAGAGATTCTGTCGAAATGCTTTGTTCCGACACTGATTTGTGCGGATGCAGGAAACAACTTGATTGATGTTGTAACACCATCGGGTTCCAAAACGGCGGAACAGGAAGAGTTCGATGCCAGTGTGGAGCTAGTACAAATCCTTGAAAGTGAAAGGAACAACTCCAATCATGTTTTGAACGAATGCGCCGTGCTGATTCATACTGGGATGTTTGCTAAAGCCCGAGAAGAGCTTGAAAAAGGTCTAAAGAAGTATGAGGAATTCAACCTACAAATTCCACCAGAATGGAGAGAAATGGAAGTAAAATTGGTGGAAGCAGAGGCATCCAGGACACAGCACAACCTCAAAGATGAAGCGATCAATGCACTAATGGCAACTTCTGAATGTTTGCAAGCCGGAGATATTGAGCAAGCCAAAATGCTACACAAGAAGTATGAAGAAGTCTGTTGCAAAGCCGGGATTGAAAGAGTTCACCTTGATGATCTGTTCAATCAAATGAACGAGATACAGAGGAACCAAGGTAATTTTGCGATGCTTGTTCTCCTGCTCGCTGACATGCATGAAAAGAAGAGAAGAAGTTGCAAGGGGATGTGACTCCAAGTCAGGGAGTAAGACAAGATGAGCCAGCAGACAACCAGAAGCTATACGATATGACGGAAATGGTTCAAAACAAAGGAAAAATTGCAGACCAGGAAAGGAAAACTCACCTGGATGAAGGGGATTTGAAGTTGCAGGAAGCTAACGATTTGACCGACGGGAAGCAGTATGAGCAGGCGAAACAGGCCTTGAAGCAGGCCAAGGAGGCGTTCAAGCAGGCAGGGGAGGACAGAAAAGGAGTTTTGGAGCTGCTGGAAGAGAGAATTGAAGAACGCAAACGACAAGAAGAGAACGAGAGGCAAGGCAAGCTGGCCCGGGAGGAGCAGGAGCGGCAAGCCCGGGAGGAGCAGGAGCGGCTGGCCCGGGAGGAGCAGGAGCGGCTGGCCCGGGAGGAGCAGGAGCGGCTGGCCCGGGAGGAGCAGGAGCGGCTGGCCCGGGAGGAGCAGGAGCGGCTGGCCCGGGAGGAGCAGGAGCGGCAAGCCCGGGAGGAGCAGGAACGGCGAGTGAGGCAGCTTATCAAAGAGGGTGACCAGAAGGCCGAGGAGGCGACCAAGCTGACCGACGAGAAGAAGTACCAGCAGGCGAGGCAGGCCTTGAAGCAAGCGGAGGAAGCGTTCAAGCAGGCAGGGGAGGACAGGAGAGGGATGCTAGAGCTGCTGGAACAGCGGATCAAGACAGAGGAGGAGCAGGAGCGGCTGGCCCGGGAGGAGCAGGAACGGCGAGTGAGGCAGCTTATCAAAGAGGGTGACCAGAAGGCCGAGGAGGCGACCAAGCTGACCGACGAGAAGAAGTACCAGCAGGCGAGGCAGGCCTTGAAGCAAGCGGAGGAAGCGTTCAAGCAGGCAGGGGAGGACAGGAGAGGGATGCTAGAGCTGCTGGAACAGCGGATCAAGACAGAGGAGGAGCAGGAGCGGCTGGCCCGGGAGGAGCAGGAACGGCGAGTGAGGCAGCTTATCAAAGAGGGTGACCAGAAGGCCGAGGAGGCGACCAAGCTGACCGACGAGAAGAAGTACCAGCAGGCGAGGCAGGCCTTGAAGCAAGCGGAGGAAGCGTTCAAGCAGGCAGGGGAGGACAGGAGAGGGATGCTAGAGCTGCTGGAACAGCGGATCAAGACAGAGGAGGAGCAGGAGCGGCTGGCCCGGGAGGAGCAGGAACGGCGAGTGAGGCAGCTTATCAAAGAGGGTGACCAGAAGGCCGAGGAGGCGACCAAGCTGACCGACGAGAAGAAGTACCAGCAGGCGAGGCAGGCCTTGAAGCAAGCGGAGGAAGCGTTCAAGCAGGCAGGGGAGGACAGGAGAGGGATGCTAGAGCTGCTGGAACAGCGGATCTCTGTAGAGTCTGACTATTTGCGTCGCATCAGCGAATTAGTTGAGTCGTCGAGGGTGTTGGAAGGAGAGGAAACGAAGGACCTGAGTCGTCATGTCGCCCTTGTGGATGAGTCGATTGGGAAGCTGAGGCAGGCCCTCACGCTTGTTGCTGCCTTCCAGTTGAGGTTCTCCGATCGAGGATTCAATTTGGCCGTCGACGAGGATCTGCTAGAGCTGAAGCTGAACTCGCTCAGTGCAAGGAGGAGGAAAGTACTGGGTGCGAAGGAAGCTGTTGATGAATGCCGGCAGCGAGGAAAGACGGCAAAGGAGCAGCGAGACGTGGCGGCGGCAGTCGAGAGGTCACAGCAGCGTCTTGACTCGTTCGCTGCGAGCATGAAGAAGAGGGGATGGATGGTTCTGCACCCTAGCGACGAGGTGCATGACGCATATCTCCACCTTCACTTCCCAAAGCAGTCGGTGAGGAGCGAGAGAGGAAGCGTCTACGACTGGACCTGCTGTCTCATCAACTGCTACGAGTCAGTCTACAGGGAAGTCATCACTCGCCGCGCTTCCATGCTCACTGAGGCTCAGCGGCACGCGAACATGAGGAGGCAGAACCAGCGACTGGCGATGCATCGACGTGGGGAGAAGAAGGGCTTCCTCCCGAGCCTCATGCACTTCAACTCCAACATTCTCAAGGTGCTCCTCGTCCTTCAGGTGGCCTCGCGCCTTCCTGATGGAGCGGAGACGAAGCTTGAGGGACTGGGACAAGCGGGGAGGATGTGCCTGCACTTGTGGTCACACGTGAGGCAAGTGGCAGGGCATGTGAACTCAAGGCTGTACAATGACCGAGAGAAGTACCTGTCAGCCCTCCACTTCACGGCCTCTTACTTCTCCGGTCGGATAAAGTTCTTAACATGAGTGAAATTGCTTCTTTTTTGTAAAGGTTCTACAGCTACACTCTACGTCGGTTAGCCGCAAACATCTCCAGAGCCCCACCGTCGGTCCTTCACTTCTGCACCCTCAAGCGTGAGGCCGACTGCCGCAGAGCCGAGACGTCCTCGGACACGAACTGTTCCGCTGCCTGCTCGAGAGCGTTACTGCTGTGAGACCAACCCCCCATCCTCGACTCGCCTGTCCCATGTCTGGCGCCGGGTAAGGGTTGGAGCCAGGAGCATAGCGTCTGATCGTTCCCTTGCTCTCTGCAAACTTGTGATTGTAGAAGGGCACAAGAGAAGAGGATGAAGGGAAGTGGAAATGGTGGGCTTCTTACCAGCAGAAAGGTGCACCTCCTTGCCCTCAGCCTTGCAAGCATCTACTGCAGCTCTGCGAGACGACAAGGTGACTTGACAAGCTCGAGAGCATCAGTCCAGCGTTACCTCCCCAGCACATGACACATGAGCCTTCTCCTTGTTGAGCTGGAGATGTGGTGAGAGGGTAGCAGTAGGGTTACCGACTTCACCTGTGAACGGAGAAGTACTTGCGGAAGAACTCAATCAAACTCTCCTTCGTGACAGCTCTTCATCTCCGTCAGCTCACACTCTCACTATCAGTGAGCAAACCTCAACGCGGCTACTTCCTTCTCCTTCCTATCGAACACAAAAGTGTGCGCGCAAAGTTCCTATCGCGATCTCAGCACAACTGACCGCTTCCTCCTCCACCCGTCACCGTCATCAGGCGCTCGCACATCCTGTCGACGCTCCTGTCCCTCTCTTGTTTCTTGGTGATCAAACTCTGGAGGAGCAGGAGGTCACAAACCATCAACACCCCAGCAGCGCAAACCTCGACATGGTCCGCATATTCCTCGCCCGGCATCTCTTGCTGCGAACACGTCACGTCGAGACGGTCTGTAGCACCAGGCAACACTCACGAGCTTCTTCTCGAAGCACATGAAGAAGTTTTCCATGCGAACTTCCAAATGCTGCGCTCGCCTGTCACTGCCCGAGCACAAGGATCTACCCACCTCACCTGAGGGCACTGAACCGACTGCACCAGACACTTCAACCCGCAAACTCCCCACTTCTTGGTCTCCACCGCGGCCACTATGTACCCCAGCTGCTCTACCGTCCTCAGCTGCGCGTACATCTCCTTGTCCATGACTTGGCAGAGGAGCTCGAGACGTACGTCGATGTCGACGGTCCTCTCCCCGATCTGATAGTACACTGAGATCGCGCTGTCGACCGCATCCGGGTCGGGGCCCAGCTCCTCATGCACCCAAGTCTCTCCTTCGGGGATCTGTAGGCAGAAGGAGTGACTATCAGCACGAGAGAGGACGGAGAATACCTGAGTGATGCAGAGACAAGGCTTGCTATCTCCCTCCAGGGCCTTGGGCTGCAGCGGGGAGAGTGACTCCGTTATCATCTTCACTGCTTCTTCCGCTGAGAAGTTCCCGACTATGAACGCTTCAATCAGCAGATTATCCAAGAATTCTTTGAGGAAATCTTGAACTTCAACCCCTGTCAAAGTCTCCAGCTCCCTCAGCCTTTCCTCGTTGCTCCAGAAGGGATGCTCCAAGACTTGATTGGTCGCAGTGACGCAGTGGAAGTACGACTGCTGGAACCTTCTATTCCTGTAGTCTACAATCGTCTTCTGCTTCACAAGCTCGAACACGCTCTCATGGTCCTTGACTTTGAAGTTGGCGATGCAGGACAACATGTTGGAGACGAGGACCGGCATCTTGTGATCATAACTGCAGAAGCAAGGCGGGTGAGCTGGAAATGATCACAGCTGAAAACTTTACCCCTTGAACGACAGCCTGAGACCAGTGCACGGAGAAGAGGCAGACGTGTTAGATATATCGAACACCAGCCCCGCCTCCTCTGCGTCGTATGCCTCTTCGTTGGTGACCTATCAACTAGTTTGAGCTTGACAAGGAAAGCGCAGCAGCTCCACATACCTCTTGGATCAACTCCAACAACATCCTGAGAGACACTGCTTTCCTCGCACACTTCTCTCCGACAAACGAACTGATCTGAATCCTGACAGAAGCCTGTCCGACCGTCAAGACCGCTCACGATCCTCCATGTTCTCACCTTGGGAACTCCGAAGGTGGTGTCCAGCACATGCCATGCTTGCACTGTGTCTGTGTCGATCACCTTGGTAGGAGCGGTAGAGCACTGAAGGTCTCCCTTGAGCTCCCACTGCTCCGGTGTGTAGGGGTTGGCGCGGGGAAGGTGCAATTCAGGGTGGCACGGGATGGAGCGATCGGACCAACGAGCAATGAGAGCAGGGGAGATATCACGTCTGACGTACTTGGTCTTGTACCTGCACTGACCATGAGAAGAATGACTGACAACAAGTCAAGGGATCATAAACCATGTCTCCTCTGCCCACTCCGTTTCACCTGGGGTCACATCCCTTAGCATGTCAGAGGAAGGAAAACTGGTTCACTGTTACCATCCAGAGGCTGGTCGGCAAGGGGAGCCACCAGGTCAATTCGAAGATTCTTCGCATTGAAATGTCTGTCGATCAATGCGTCCAATGCGTCAAAATCGAGCGGGTCGTAGAAAAGGTCTGGCCCGCACAACACCTGCCCCAAGTGAGCTGCTGGAACATCGCAGATCCAACGCGCTCTGACCTCCTCTCGTGGGTAGCGGGTCAAGTTGCACGCAAGCTGCTCAGTGAACTGATCTTCTCTGACTCGATTTCGGAATCGGAAGTTGAGTTCCTCCAACATCTCGCACTCATGCCTGATTCTTCGCCGCTCGTCGTTGTTGGTGGCACGTAGGCAGGAATTGATGTATTGGAACACCAAGTCGATCACCTCTTCATAATGCGGCATCCCTTCTTCCGTCAACTTGATGGAGACTTCGAACAAGGCAAAGTGAGTCGACTGTGTTGCAGTCCCAGCTCCAAGGTCTGTTGCCCATCCTTTCTTCTTCAGAAGCGAGAGCACACTTCCTGCTCGCAACGTCAAGTTTTGAACGCTGTGATGCGATCAAACAGAGCTAACCTGGACCCTCGTGCCCAAGACAATGACTAAGAAATCTTGTCGGTTTCTGGCGGAAATTTGGATACGTGGAGTCTGTCGGGAAGTAAAGCACAAGCTTCCTCCTCTCCTTCACTGGGACGATGTGGTAGAGAGATTTCCAGCTGCTGGTAAAAGGATCGTCTTCCTTCAAGACACCCTGGAAAGGCAAAGAAATGATCAAGATGCTCGATTGAAGGTTCAAAGTACCCTCAGCGGCTCGATCTTGTGATTGGGGACATCCGAGAAAAGGGTCCTGCTCCATGATTCCAGGGTGTCGAGGCTTTCGCGTCCCAAGATGCTGAGTTTCATGATGTTAGCGCTGTAGTTCTGTTCCCAGAATCGAAGAAGATGTTCTCGAATATTCGTTCCAGTTTCCAAAGGCATGTCATGCAACGTCTGGATTTTTGCAATGAAGCACGATCAGGGAAAGAACAAACTTGAAACTTCATTCCCTACCTTGTAGTTTCCAGTTCCAAAACGCTGGACAGGATGGCCATCTTTGCTTGAGGATCGCCATAGCTGAAACTCTCTCCTCGAGTCTTCTTGTAGATTTTTGTTGTTCTCCGAGTCGATGGCATTCAGCTCGCGCTCAGTAAGATCTTCGAGGAAGAGGGGGGCAGAGAAGAACCCAGAAAACCGATCGAGGGCATCGTACTGCGCCTCCATTACAACAGAAAGATCTATGGAACATCAAGCTTACCAGGCGGTCATGAGCCAGCATGAAGTGATACACGGTGCGATCCAAAGACGTCCAGGCGTTTGAGTAACCAGCACTCTGCGCACAGAAGCTGTCGAAGTCGGACTCTCCAGGGAATTTCTTGTTGCCAAGGAAGAGCATGTGCTCACAGAAATGAGCCAGGCCTTGAACTTCAGGGGGGTCTTGAAGCTGTCCAGCAGCAACTGCCATGGCAGCTGCTGCAGTTTGAGTTTCGGGGTCGGAAATCAGGACACAGTCAAGGCCATTGGGTAGCTGGATCAGGCGGTAAGCCCTATGGTCGGAATCTGGCTTCCTTCTCGGCTCTATTGTAGTCATACCTGCAAGGACAAGGACAAAGTCAATGTGTGACGTTTCCAAACATCCAGATAATCTTCAATCGCTTTGTTCTTCCTCAACTTGTCGTTGGAGGCAGCATACGACTATAATCCAAGCTAGCAAGGTACAGCTCACTCGTCTCTGTTTGACATACAGCAAACATGTCATGCAGATTAGCACAGCATCTTCAACCAGATCTCAGACACATTCCATTATGATTAATTTTCTGCCTCTCTGCCTCTTTTACTCATCTCAAGTTCTCGCTTCCATTCATGATTCCGTTCACCGTCGTTCCCTCATAGCTCCTCCTTCACAATTCGATATCCTCTTCTTTGCACATTATGTCCTTGTTGGTTGCAACATAGAAGTCTGTACAAAGCAGGATTCGTTTCGATCTCAAGCTCTTCCCATTGCCTCCTTACCCTCGTTCCTACATAATTCACTACCTGGACTTTTCCCCTCTCCATCCACATCCTATCTTCTTCTTCTCCACACTTTTCCGAAAGGACCCTTCAGGGATGTTCCTCTCCTCTTTATCTCTTTATCTCCGCTGCTTCGCTTCCCTCCTCCCCCTCCTCCTCCTCCTCCTCCTCTTGTTTCAGCGAAAATCCCACGTGTCTCCCTGCATTGAAGCCCAATTTCCCCCCCTGCGATAATGATGTTTAGTGGAGCAAATGCACCCCTACTATTTTCCTCCCTACCCCCGTCATAGTCCATCATAACCCTACTATATGACTGTCGCAAAACGGGATCACTAACCCCCTACCCCGAGCAATGCGCCCCCACCCCACCGAATTTTCCAGCCTGTCCACTAGCTTGCAGACACGGTGTCACATCAACCGCCAAACGTCAAACCAGATTGGTCACTGAAGGACAGACCACCCCTCGTGGTCCCACCCCAATCCTAAACCTATAGAAGGGAGGTGGGGTACTAGAGCGTCCGATCTCAGGTGGGAAGCTTTCGGTCCGAGGCATGGCTCGGCAGCAGCGGCGGCTGCTGAGAGCAGTGTAGACAGGAGTGGCCCTGAGGAGAATGAGCAATAGGAGCGATAAGAGGAAGTATGCAAACTGATCGAAGACTCGACGAGACAGACTCCGATAGATAGATGATAGAAGGCATGACGAGATAGAACCTCATTATCAGAGTGCGATATTCTGATCGACTTGCGATCCAGCTTCTCAACTTTCAACAGCGAGATCACAACATTGTGTTTATTCTCCGCTACAATGTGAGTTCTGGATCATTGTGCAGAAAACAACTGAAGCAAGATTTTCATGCTCCAGGAGTGCTTCAAGCTGTTCGAGCTCAACATGGTATTGTCCAAACGACAAGACTTTCTATTCGTATCGTACCATATGCTCTGACGGAACAACAAACGTTTGCTTTGTTGGCGGTAGTTCTTCAAGTCCTAGCAGCTATTCTTCATATAATCAAGTCTACTATCAAAGTCCAACCTACTTTTACCCGGACATCTGTGTATGTGCAGTTTTCTTTACGCTCAGTCGACTTTTCAGGCTTCTTGAACTTGTGTATTGCTTGTACTTGACTTTGAAGCCTTTGAGTACCATTCGACATAATCGCATGAATCAACAGCTGTGTGATATAGTCATACAAGTAGCAGGATTCATCCTTTGTCTCGGTCTGATACCAGGGAGCTGTGGGGAAGACGGGCTTGCAGCAATCATGCTCCTAGCCATAACTCTTTCTTGTATCGACGTGTTCTATGGAATGGGGTTCCGTGCGGACTACACCATGAACTTCAACAGCTACCGCCACAACATCTTGGCCCGTGTGGACTGCTGCGTTGGAGTTTATACCTGGCAGGTATACTTCATATGCTTCGTTATCGACCTGATCGGCGCGACCATTCTTTTGGTGAGCATTTCCCTGTTGAGCCTTCTTTGAAGTTGATTTCGAACCTTCAGGTTGGGAAAGAGAATCCCGTCGGCTACGCTGTCGCCGCCTCCTTCACTGTGGGGTTGGTCTTGAAGTGGTACCGTCCTCACTGCTGTCTTCCCCATGTTTGCATCAAATGAGCTGACTGTGAGGGTTTGAAGGTACCTTGCTTCCGACCAACTTCGCACTCCTGCAGTCGAGGATGACATTGAGATGCGAACAAACGTTGTCCGTCAAGCCGGATTCGTTCATCCAGTGTGAGGCAAGGGAATGGTCTCAAGTCCAGCCCGCCATCGTCATTTGGACGGTCAGCCTTTCGAAAAAGTGCTACTTTGAGGGGTTGAAGGCTTGCTCTCAACACTAAAGGGCGACGCCTTGAAATGCATATATATATATGCGATACAAATACTTGAGGGAGAGCGAGAGTACAAGGAGATTTGGAATTGAATAAGAAGGTCTCGAGCAACAATTCATACCTCATTTTTGATGATCGATTGATCGATTGTCTCTATTGATGATACAAAAACTCTGACGACGAGATAGAAAAACTGAAATCAAGAAGATATGTCAATTGCTACTATGTAGATTTGGAAATTTGAGGACACACGTATCAAGAAATTGGACAAGTGTCAGACAGCCAACGTGGAAGGGAGAGGAGGGGAGGGAAAGACTGGAGACAAGGTGTTGGATACAACGCGTCAATCATGTGTAATCAAGCATGTACAGATGTCGTTTGGCAAAGGTGATATTGCCATAAAGGCGCTTCAGTGAAAGACAACTGGCAGAAGATGAACATCCAGACGGAGACTGATGATGAAGGATACAGCAAGAGAAAGAAATAAGGAGGGTGTTTGGTTTGAAACAAAGAGCGGTGGTATGAAAGAAAAGAAGCGCTCATGGTGATAGCGGGCGGGCTGATGACAGAGGTGAGGGAAGAGAGCATGTTGGGAGCGGGAGCAAGAGCAGGAGAGTGGAGAAGCTAGGGACACGAGATGAGCTGGAGCAGGGGAGAGGAGAGGAGCAGTAGCAGAACAGAGGAGAGGAGGAGAAGAGAGAGAGAGAGAGAGAGAGAGAGAGGAGAGGAGCAGGAGCAGAACAGAGGAGAGGAGGAGAAGAGAGAGAGAGAGAGACGAGAGGAGCAGGGGCAGAAGAGAGACGAGAGGAGCAGGAGCAGAACAGAGGAGAGGAGGAGAAGAGAGAGTCGAGAGGAGCTGGAGCAGAACAGAGGAGAGGAGCAGGAGGGAGATAGAGTTGAAATGAGCAGGAGCGCGACATGGGCATACTCTTTTCTGCATTTGCAGTTTCCGAATGTTACCCCACCCCAATCCGAACTCTCCATAGGGAGTTTTTCAAACATTTCTCCCATATTTGAACTTTTACCCTGATAAATTCAGATCTGTTGTAAAAATATCATCCCCCATTAGTTACGGTCGTACCCCCTAGTTTTAAGGTATTTCGTTGATGATATAGGGGTAGGGTACTTGACCCCACCAACCCCACTTCCGCCCCGCCATTTGCCACTCCGACAACGAACGAAGCTTTTATGTTTGACCACCCCCACCCCATTGTATAGACCCCTTGGGCTTAGGACAAAACACAGTACCCGTACAATTGAGATCACTACCCCGTACTTCTATATTATTTGCACGGGTAATTTCTTCGAGGTACCCGTACTTCAGCTTCTGGCACCCCCCACCCAGCACCCCCCACCTCGTTTGGTTGACAGTAGAATTCCCGCCAATCACAATGCACCGCCCCTTCCCTTCCCTTCCCTCCCCTCCCCTTCCCTTACCTCCCTCCCTCC